TTAGAACACAGCTAATTACAGGTGCACTGGCCACCTAAGTGTGTTTTCTAAATTGCAGTTTATAACCATCACTTTATATATACACATCCACCACCCTGTTTTTTGTTTTTTTTAACAATATGGCGGTAAGGAACTGGTAAATAGAAGTAAAGAAGAATAAGGGAATATAATTCAGCGAAGATATACTCTACATCTGCATGATTGGCCATAATACCCTTGTTTCCATAAGTACCTTATTACCTGCACATGTAGTAAATTACATACAGGAGGAGAGAATATACACAAGAAATAAAATGAAGTTCTGCATGGCAACACACACGTCCCTTATGCCACCCGTAAAATGTGCCACAGCACAGAAGCCGCCAATCATATCCACCTCACCTCACATAAACTAATCCTACTCTGAAGCAGCTTTCTCCTCTCCTGCAGAATTACACATTCTGGAAGAAGTTTGAAGTCATGTTACTTTCTGCTCAAAGGAGAATCACAAATTAATGTGTTGAGGACTGTGATTAGACAGGAAACACACTTTCAAAATTCCCTGTCTGCTTCTCCTTACTTCCCCTCTATGTAGTGTCTTAGGCCTCTGTATTACAGCCAGAGCCCTGCATACCTTATAATTACTCATATTGCCTCTTGACCCTATAAAATTTACAGCCTTATGTCTCTTTTTTAAAACAGCTGCTCATGCTTCTCTTTTACAATGCAGTGCCTTATGCCTCTCTATTGCTCACATAACATTATTTCTCTAGATCAGTGGTTCCAATCCTGGGGTTGGTGGACAAAAGGCTGTGGTAGTGGGGTTTCAGGGACTCCCAAAGAACAGTTTGTTTGACTACCGCGATTGTTCCGTTGCATTCTCAGGCACGATTCAGAACAATGTGCCTTGGCCTCCTTAAAAAGTGGTCTGGGGCACAGTTCAGTTGGACTGCAGCGAGGTAGGCATATGTATCATCACTAACCGCAACACTAGAGTATATCAGATCCATTTGTGCCCACTCCGGTAGTAAGCGTACCGATGAAATACAGTAAGTGTGTTCAATGTGAGTGCAGGTCAGCAGCAGAGTGGGGACAATCGTGTTTGGGCATAGTACAAGGACACCGTGCCTAGTGTGATTACACCCTAAATTGTGTGCAGAAGGTCTATAAAGTATTCCTGCAGCCGTTTTTTTTCGATACTTTTTCTATAGTTCTGGCTACTGGCAAATCAGTCATTCCCCAGCTGCCTGATATGCCACCTTCTTCACGTTAAAGCACATGCTTCCTTCTGCAATTGGGCACAAAGAGAAATTGGTGTAGGACAGAGAATGTGATTGTAGGTGCGGAGTCCTGGGACCCAAGTCCTGAACTGCAGCAGCATCAGCTTGACGCACCTCTTCTAAGGGTTTGCACTGGCCAACAGTCTATTAAGGTGCCTTCAATCAGATGAGACCTGCTCCACCCTGCAGCATCGATCTCCTTCATGGAACTCTGAGTGCTGCTGCCTAAACTACAACATACAGGTGAGCCAGCAGACTGTACCCTTGCTCCTTTTGCATCTTCTATGGCCCAGACACGAATCATGGAGGGATACCTAATCCGCCAACCCACAGTGGCTGCAAAACCCCAGATCCAGGGAACCCAGTATCACGGGCCACACCTCAAACAGGCCCCAAGATAACACTGAACACACCTGCAATATGACATACCCCAAATAACCTCTCAGCTCCCTCCTTCATCCCACTGACACTGAAGACAACAGCATTTTTTTCTTCCCACCCCAGCGGCAATTTGGCCATACCCGCCCTCCAGCATACTACACTAGAAAGTGCTCCTATTAGGCCCGTCAGCTGCAACACGCTCTATCCCACCCCCACTAAGGGGTACAATTTATGTAAATGGACTGCCAAGGGGTATGCAAGTGAAAAGGGCTTGGAACCACTGCTTTAGATTACACACAGTGGCTTGGCTTATGCCCCTATAATTAATGCATTACATTTCCTCATATCTCTTTGCAGGACCTTATAACTCTTGCACATACACATGCTACTGGCAAGTTGACCAGTTTTCAGGAAACTAGGAGCCAACATCAACACCTACTGGTAAATCTGAAATTATCTACTGCAGTTCTAATGACAGTTAGGATGGTCATCCTTACTGTGTAGAGAAAGCACCACTGGGCAATGTAACCAGCAGCACTATTAGAGCTGTATGTTGTCTGTAAGAGGTTGTCTGACTCATTGAAATGAGGGGGTGTCAAACAGTGTAAATTTTAAGCATCAACCCTCCCTCAAAATCTGTTTTTCCTACAATCCAAGTAACAACAATAAAGGCACAAGTTCTTTTCACATTTCTAATGTAACACACTGAATCATTACAGAAGAATTATTACAGGGCCAAACAGAAGTCAAGGCTTATACAGAATGAAACCATTAGAGAAGAACATTTTCGTTTATCATCACAAAACTCCATATTGTTCTGCTCCAAATACACGGTTATCTTTATGACAGCAAGGCCAATTCTACCGATAAAGCTTGTTACATGAGAAGTATCTTGTGGCTAGAGGTTTAAAATTGTCAGGTGTATACACGGGTCTATTTATTTGAATGGGCTGCTGAGACACCAAAATGTACCAGAATTTAAATAGGCACCATTTTTCCGATGGAGCACACCACAATGTACATTGCCATGATAATGAAAGTAAATGGCACCACAACATATTCATGCATGGTGCATTGCTGGTAATGCGCCACAAATGATAAATCTGAATGGGCCCTCATGATAAGAAAACTATACAAAGAAATGTCAAAAAAGTTAAGACATTTGGGACCAGAGATTGAAATACTAAAACATTTTTTTGTTTTATACCATTACTGAACATCAAATGCAGCAGTCTGGATCTACAGCACTCCCGACACGTCCCCACCACAGTGCTCCAATTAACAGCAATTATGCCCTCTGAGCACCTCAACATGCTTACCACAAATTTACTTTAGGGCTAGTTCACACTAGCCACAGTGCGTTACGGCCCGAATGGGACCGGAATGCACTGGATTGCACAGCGGCCGGCTCACTTTGCTGCATGCACTATTTTTTCTTACCGTACCGGAACGCAGGCATTGATGTGCCACGCCTTCCCGTGCGGCCGATCGCATTGCGGCCCGAGGGAGTGGCTGCGCTGCCATTGAGTTCAATGCACCAGCACGCCCCCTCCCGCCCCAACACAAAGTGAGCCGGCTGCAATGCGATCCAGTGCGTTCCGGCCCGGCTTGTGTGAACTAGCCCTAAGAGACACAGCAACACACTAGAAGTTCAGACGTACCAAAATCTAAAGACCCAAAGTGTGTGTCTGCGATGAATATATCAAACCAAATAATCAAGATACCAAAAAACAATTGGTGGCTGACTAAATACTTTTTTGCCCCACTGTATATATATATAACACATTTCTTCTTGCATGCAAATTAGGCACTGATCAGACTGCATTTTGTTTATACTTGTTCCATGGTTATTGGTTGCTTGATTTTGAAGTCATTGCCTGAATGAACTATGCGATCTAAAAGGATGACTGGGCAGATGAAGGCCCATGCCTAACAATTTAACAGAAAATTTGCAGCTTAAGAGGAGAATTAAAATGGGTCCCAGAATATCATCAACATTATGACTATGACAGAGTCTCAAGTGTGCCAGCTGCTGGACAGAAATGGTATAATATCCTCATCTATCAAGGTTCACACATTGGGTGAGAGCCTATGATATATAGCAGTCTTTGTCATTTTATCCAAGTATACATTTATATTTCTGAGATTGTTTACAATGTCCTATTATCAGCAGAAGTACAGTCATCCTATATAAGCTTTTTTTTGCACATTGTCACAATATTTTAAGCCAAGTGGCAATCAGTAAACCAAAGCAATAGGGTTGATAACTAAAAGCAAATAGGCTCTGTACTTTGCAAAGGAAATTTGCACTTTACAGGGGACGTTTACCTTAGCTTAGTGAATGTGGGGAAATGCTATATAAAACCTGTATAATAATAATAATAATAATAATAATAATGTCACTTTGCAAAGAATAGCCAATCATGTGCAAGGAAAAAAAACCAATATTATTTCTTGCACGTGATCTCATCTCCTGTTTCAATGACAACTGTAACATTTTGTTTTTTTACCATTACTTTCTGGCCCAGTGAAAATTATCAACTGGGAAAATAGGGACACAGATGATGATTAAAAAGAAACTTACAGGGGTTCTAACCCTTCCAACACAAAATAAGTTGGGCTTTAGATGCACATTAATGCTTTTAGAGGACACTTTTCCATATATGTATATATCCCTTCCAAGTGATTGGATTTATTTGTATTATTCTTTGCAAAAATGTTAACTTTAGATGTAAACTATAAAGTATCTTTTAATACACAAAATACGTGTCCATATTTCTAATGTCACGAAATAATGATAAAACATAATCCATGGTGCTTGCTGCTCAATTGGAGGTATATACACCAGATGAAAGGCACTAACAACTGACCATTGACAAAGAAGCCTAAGGGCCTGTGCAAAGGGTTTTTGTTAGCTTCAAGAAGGTTTTGCATTGCCACACACGCCTATGAGAATGTAAAAACTGCTTGAAGCAGGTTAACTGCAGGTCAAATACATCCGACTGATCTCAGAAGTGTGTTAAATTGATGCCATCGACACAAGCTCAAGGCTTAGGGTTGCCACCTTTTCTTCAAGCGAAACCCGAACACTCTAGCGACACGTGGACATATGTTTTTGGGAGAATGAGTTGTGGCTTATTCATATGTAAAAGGAACCACCCATTAATATGTAAATATCACAGTTGAGACTATTTTTAGTGGGGGGCCAGTAGCCCCTATCTTAATTTTGGTTGTCCCTGTCTACCTGACATTTTGTGTCCAGGTTCCTTGTGCCATGAAACCTGGAAACAGCATTCAAAACCCGAACAGGGTGAATCCTGGACAGGTGGCAACCCTATCAAGGCCTGTCCGAAGTGACTCTTAACACATTTCACACTAGAAGTGCTTACCCACAAAGACCTGATAAGGTAGCCCATCCAGGGTATAATGTGTTAAAGCTCAGTTGTTTGTGTCTTTTATCTAGTGAATAAACCTCTGATTGAGGAGCAGGCACTGTGGACCTGCTGAATTGTTAATATTTTAGCAGTTGGTCCAGGCAAGATCTGGGAGCTGCTGGTTGCTTCTGGCATAGAGATGGGAAAATGGGTCTCCCTGGTGGTAGCAGTTTTACAGTTTAAAAAAAATATGGCTATACATTTAACAATCACACTCAGTTTTCATCTTTAATAACATATGCCAGGTCCAAAATCAGCCCAGCTGTGTCGACAGCCACCTTAAGTCCATTGTATTTTCCAGTGTAACTATCCACAACCAGTGATCCTTCGTTCACTAATAATGGGAATATATTTGTGCCGCTTCGTGCACTGAATGGTTTGTAGGTACTGCCTAGCATGCACCACTCTATGCCATCACCCTTTCTGAGTAACCGACAGCCACACCCTTGTTCAGTATCTATACAATGGAAGTCTTGAGTAGAATTAGGAGGAATAGACCAGAAGTGACCATCCTGGAGATCAGTAAGTGTGTCTCCACCATCATGTTCCAAACTTCGTGCTGCCGATTCTAAACAAGAAGAGAAGCAGTCTGACACCAGTTTATACTCTGCCATTGAACAGTTCTGCTCTTCCAGGTCGTCGCTGTCTATATTGGCACTCTGAAACAACAAGACAAGACTGCTGTGGATTTTTAAGACAAAAACAGTAGTAAGCGCACTACTCTGGTGGTAAATGGGAATATATTACAAGACTAACAGGGGGGGCGCATGCAGCCTCCATGAACAGGGAGAGGAACCTCGTGTACGAGAAAGAGAAGAAGAAGGCCACCCTCTGGCCGCAACCAGATCATCCAACAGTGAGTCATTATATTTCTCTTTGATACCTATTATTGTGATTAAGCCACTACATTCATTCTACTTTGTGACCACACTTATACAATAGGGTAGTAGCGCCTCCTTCCCCAGTCTTCTTTTTCATGGGGATTTTTAAGCAAGTTGGTTGGACATATCCAGAGGTTTACATACATACCAGGTAATGTGTATATGTGAAAGGTGATACGTATGGGGTTCATTTATATAAGTTCCCCTTGGCTTGATGTTGGCATGGCACTAGTACCCCTAGATGACCCTGAGAAGTATAGGAAATCCCTATACTTGTAAGCACCGTCTAGGGACACAAACAGCATCCACCTGGCGTATAGCTTTTATAAATGAACCCTTAAATGTGTTTATTAATAATAGTAAGAATAATAATCATGATTCTGTGGCGTCTACACCATTTTGGGAATTTAGTGGAACAAATTTATCACTGTAATTGGCCAATTTACTTGCCTTACTTGCTGCCTGCCTGCCATAATAATCCTCTGCTTCTCTAGCGAGTCACACCCAAGTAACTCATGAAATAGTGAAGCCATTTATACATTTATTAGTTGAGCAACAAGTAAATTAAGCCAGTAATGACAACCCCCCTCATATCTACCGTGACAGGGGTCCTTTAAAAAAGCAAAGCAATTCTTCTGACTGTGTGATGGGAAAATTCTAGCCTATTGGAAGTTTGCCTCAGCTTAGTACACATTCCAATAATTCTACACTCGTGTTTATAAATCCTCCCCTTTGCCTGTAAATCATTCTTCAGTCAAGATTGTACACCAATGCAAAGCTCAGTGTACAATCCCAGCATCTCCCATGATGACTGAAGTTATGTGCGCCTTTACAGGAGTTACACCGCCCCAGACCAGCCAATCGAGATGTCCAAAGATGCCAAACTTGAAAGAAGCTAGGTAGAACCTGTAGGGGAAAATGTAAGATGAGGGAGCTAGTGGATGAACCCCCTGCTATACTTACCTTTGAGCGAACGTTCCTTCCCCTCCGCAGTGTGGGTGTAATATCTGTACTCTGTACTGTCGTGTAGCGTAGCCCTGTGCTCTGGATTTGCCTTTTACAAGCGAAATTCAAAATCCAGAGCACAGGGCTGTGCTACACGGCAGTACAGGGTATGGATATTACACCCGCACTGGCGGAAGGAAAGAACCGTTCGCCCAAAGATAAGTATAGTGGGGTGGGGGGGGGATTGCAGGGGGTAATTCTATTTTCCTAAATTCACCTGGGAAAGTGGAATTTCTCCAGATTCTGTCTATTCCAGTGCTGATATATTCCCCTCAATGTTTCAGATGCACCAATACCGGTTTTCGGCCAAATACTCGGTATTGGCACAGATACTGATACTAGTATTGGTAACGGTGCATCCCTATTTCAAACAATGTTAGGTTTGTGTTTATATAGTGCAGGCATGTAACAAAATGAATAATCTTACCATACCTTATAGCGGACATATGCAGCTAAATGTGTTTCGGTACACCCGCCTCCAAGGAGCAGCCAGGGATCCTTAAGCAGTTGATTTAAAGTGTGTTCTGCAGTCTGGCAAACTCTCTTATAAGAAAAAAAAAAATATATATATGCTTAGTGTCTGACATACTCTACATACTGTATATCATATATTCAGTCAGTAATTCACCCTACAAATCTGTAAGACAAGAGGGCAGGGCAAATATATTATTAAAACTTTCCTGTGGCAGTTTGTGAACGTTCTTTTTCGTATCGGTTCAAACTGGATCATATTTCTTCGGCCCTTTTACATCAGTCTGATGCGCTGCGATAGGCAGCCTAACGCATTGCACATCAATGTATGAAATACCCTACATTAGCACGTGTGCGGTATTTCATGCATTCATGTACGTACCGTTAGGCAGCTCATTTATTCTGAATGGGCTCTCAATGCATATGATAACAGACATTTACTATTTTTAGCGCATCACAAAGCTCAATTAACTCTCATGTGCTATGGTGCACTAGTGTGTTGTTGTGAGCTGCCTAGGTTGAATTGTGTTAACAGGTCTAAATTGGCCCTCGTATGTATGCATGTGAGATAGGGACTTTAGATTGTAAGCTCCTTGAGGGCAGGGACTCATGTGAATGTGCACTGTGTAAAGCGCTGCGTAAAATTGTCAGCACTACAGAAATACCAATAATAACAACAACAACAACAACAGGTATTATAATGGGTATTTTTCTGCAACATGTTAATGCACACAACTAAGTGTGCTGTTATTCATTTTCAATGGCACATCACTTAGTTGTGTGCATTAAAGCACACGTGTTCCCAGACTATGGACATTTGTTCATAACAAGCAGGAAAAGCTTTAAAGGAGGAGAACTATGAGATGAGTGATTTCCACTCACCTCATAGTTCTAGCCGACCTGTGACAATGAGACTGTCACAGGTCCGCTCAGTAGATCGGGAGGTGAGAGAACACATACCAGGTTCGCTCACCTCTTGATCCTGTCACGGCTCTCTGCCGTGACAGGGGGAGGGCTGGATTCCCCTCTCCGATCTGCCAGCGCTGACTGGCGGAACGGACGGGTACAGCTGGCTCTGCCTCTAGATAGGCAGAGCCAGCTGTCACTCAGGCAGCTGGGCGGATCCCGTCATCTACGTCGGGATCCGCTCCGGCGTCTCAGTATACCGCGAGCTGTAGCTCGCGGTATACTGAGCTTAGGGTAACGGGAGGACGCTAGTTTGTGTCCTCCCGTTACCCTTATGAGAACTATGGGGAAAAGCCCTGACCCCATAGTTCTCCTTTAAGCATCTGAATATAACAGAAAATTAATTACAGGGGAATTTCAGTGTATAAAATGTTGTTTTAAACCTACTTTGACCTAACTACTTAACTAAAAACATGGGTAAGTCATTACTGTATCCTGTCAACCATGACTTCTATCCTTCTAAAGAAATTTATCTCCAGAGGTTATTATTCTTTAAAGAGTCATTATGAGCAAATAAAGAAATTACATAAATGATGTGGCCTGTCACTAGCATGAACAAAGATAGCTGTAGCTCGCGGTATACTGAGCCTAGGGTGATGGGAGGACGCTAGTTTGTGTCCTCGCGTTACCCTAAGGAGAACTATGAAAACACTGACCCCATAGTTCTCCTTTAAAAACAAGCCATCCCAGACCTCTTTAGCTGCTTGTATTGTCAAGTAATTCATCCTCAAAGATCCCAATAGAGCTTTCAATAACCTGGTGCTTGTTTACAATAAAGGGCAAGATTCTGCTCTCCATATAACATAATCCCTCATCATAACAAGACATAATGAAGTGCTTAGAACTTTGCATACGTGGCCAGCACTGAAGGCAGTCTGAAGCACCACCTTTTACAGGAAAATGAAGTATTTCAGATTTTTTATAAATCTTTCTTATCCCTACCAGAAAGTCTGCTAACATAGCTTTGCGCTCTCATCAGAGTCCGGATTACAATAAATTAAGTATTTGCTGATGAAGCAGAATCGTCCATGAAAATCCAGAAGGAAAAGTGTTACTTACCACGAGCTCTTTCAGGGACGTCTCATTACGGTTGCAGAGCACAAAGCTGCACACTGACGTGTCACAGGGAATAAGATGCAAGTACTGCTTGTTTCCATGGGACATTTTGCTGATTTGCCTGAGGCTGCCATAGCAAGCAGAGGAAAGTAAGCTTAGGGAAGCTATAGACTGCGCACCTGTGAGAGGGGAAAAAATAAAAATCAAGTTATTTTTAAGCTGATGCAATCGTTTTCCGGGAAAGGTCATAATTATTGATGCAGGAATAAATATAACCACAGAAGGACTGATAAAGGAGACCTGGCTGAATCAGCTGCAGACTCTTTAAGCAGAACTGCATCCTCCTATCCTTTACAGCCAAGGAAAGTGCCATCTTTGCCTCTATTTGGATTGCAGCTGCCATGGTGCAGCACATGAACAGCTATGATGCCAGCCATTTGAGGGCTTACATGTATGGTTGAGAGCTGAAATAAGCTCACTGGCAACCTTGACAGTTGGCCGCGTTGAAAGTAACTGTTTTGAGAGACATTAAATTGGTGGGTAAAGTTCCTCTTTATATCGCGTATGTATCAGGTCAGTCTCTTGCCACTAATAGTGCTACACCCTCTGCACTGAGACATATGTAGGCTGCCACTGCTGACCTCCTTGAGAAAATGCTAGCTGCCTGGCTGTCATACTAATCATATAGCGTCAATACTGAATGGGAAAAAGTATAGAGATCAGGGGTTTCCCTCAGACTTCACCTGCTGCATGACTGTTCCAAGTTAGCAACTCCGTAAATACTAAAGCCCTAAAGCTGGCCATACACCTATAGATTTTTTCTTCTATCAGCCTGATTCTATAGCACGATTGTCTTTTTCGGATGTAGGCGCACCTGACGCGTGTTAATCTACTCACGCTCGCAGGGGCCTTTAAACATTTTTTTTTCATTATTTTTACATTTATTTTATTTAATAATTTTTTAAAACTTTTCTTTAATTGCTTCCACATAGGGGGGCTTACAAGCCCCCCCATGTGATAACATATAGGTGGTGACAGGTCCTCCTGAAGGTGTTATTGGGGGTCCAAAAGACCCCTAGTGTCACCCTTCCACACTAAATAAGTTATTGAAATGTAGATCTCACTTCAATAGCGTATTGCTTGGCTTCAGGAGCCCAGCAATGACAGCTATGGGACCGGAAGTGATGCAATATGCGTAGCTCCCGCTCCCATAGAGCGGGGAGGAGATCGGTGAACGGACATTTGCCGCTCTCCATCCCAGCATACTGCCGACATGCGGATCCCTGGCCCGCGGAGCCCGGGAAACACGGCGGGAGTGTTGGGCAGTGAGGAATTACCGGCCCGTAGAAGCGATCTGGTGACAGCTGAGTCACTGATTAAGAATGTATAGTTGACTAGAAGAATGCAAGCTGGCCAGACCCCGATGCAGCACCAAACCATTTTCACCACTATTCTTCACAGTTGTTATGCGCTTGTTCTCCTGAGGTGCTTTCTGCAGTTTGCGGCAATCAGGTTTCTCTGTGACCAAACTGTATCCTTCATTGGTCAGACTTCAGCACATTGCCATTGAACATCTAGGCAAAGACCAGGCCTCCTGGAGCAAAGTGCAGTCTTGCTCCAGTGTTCTTCTTAGACAAAAAAAAACCCCTCTTCTTAACACACCTCTCATGCAGGTTCATTTTAGATGTTCATTGTAGACGTACTTTGACCCTAAAAGGTACCTGAACACATTATGATGACATTTTGGGGTTCTTAGAGACTTATTTTAGCATCAAGTGGTCAGCTCTTGGGCTGTTGAGCCACCCAGACCTGGACAAGTTAGCATTTGTTTGAAATCTATGCCACTTGTAGATTTGTTTTCCTTACAGTGGAATGATTGATTTAAAATCATTTTTGCAATCTTTTTAATTCAATTACTAGACTAAAGAGGGATCCACGGCGTTCTTTCTGAGGGCATACTCCCCTAAAAAGGTTTTAACCATCAGCACCTAATCTAGAACACCCGATTCTAATTTCATGGCCTTGAAGTTGTATAAATGTAGGGGTGCAATTACTTTTTTCCCCCATTTTATGACAAATCTGCATTTTTTGCACATTGAAATCATGAGACTTAGGCCTCATTCACACCATAAGCAGTCCGATTCTGGCCGGAATGCACTGCCTCCCATTCAGTGCGGCTCGCTTTTTTGCCGGGTTGTAGGGGGCGTGATGGGCCATTGAAGTGAATGATACCGTAGCCATGCCCTCCGGCCGCAATGTGATCGCCCGCATGGGATGGCAAGGCACATTGTGCCTGCAGTGCAGTCCGGTGCGATCAAAATGCTGCAGGGTAAGTTCACACTATATGCAGTGCGTTCCGGCCCGATTCCAGCCGGAACGCACTGCATATGGCGTGAACGAGGCCTAATAGACAATTGTATGTGTCATTTGTTAAAGAATATCAGCTTTATTTGTAGGCACTATTTGAATGAAGATCTAACCTTTACCTGTTCGGATATGTTGAAAAGGTCAATAATTTCCATGGGATTTACTGAAATTTTGACATGGCTGTATGAAAACACAGTTGTATGGGGGGAGGAAATGAAAGTCAAACTCAGAAATCCTAATAAAAAAAAAAAAGGTAATAGGCTTATCTATTTAGTTTATGTGTAGGATTAACAATCCCATTTAAACATTGAATATATATAAATATATATATATATATTACATACATACATACATACACACACACATACACACACACACACTTCAAAACAACTAAAACACATAAACTTGGTTCGGTTCTTGTATAAAGTAGTGAATACATTCTCATATAAATAATTTTTTTTTTTACCTGTCATTTGACATAGTGGTTCCATTAAAGCCGCTCCCAATCTTTCCACAGCAAGGATCTTCTGCTCTTTTAAATACTGCCTCAGGCAGGGATGAATAACTTTTTGACAGACGAGTATGTGAACATGGTCATCCACTAACCGCTTTCCTAAAGCCAACAACTGTTCCAGCATGACTTTTTCAGGGTCTACACCTTCCACCACCTCCACAGAGCCATCTCCTGTATCACTAAAATCTCCAGACAGAGAGGCTGAAAACAAAGCCAAATTAATGTTTTCAGGAGGCAAGTCTGACATTGCTAAGATTCTGTTCCAACTGCTACCTGGCATTTCAATGAGAACACCAGGAACTAAGGTGGACTCCATTACATTCAGACCTTCGACAGGGACCATCACGGTCCTCCCTAATACATTAGATCTGCTCTCTACAGGGACTTTGAAGAGAAAGGCTTTGACCACTAAAATGGTAACGTAATCTACTTCTTGTGTGGTAAGCATGCAAGCAGGCTTACTGCGAAGCACAGATCTTGTTAGATCAAAAAAGGAGGAGTTACAGCTAAAATCTACCTTTAGTTTGCATGCACAGTCATCCGATGTCAGGTAACGCAAGCACATGTTCAAAAGACTCTTGTTTATAGTTATTATCTTGTGAGGGGACAAAGGTAAAGCCATGCATCTGTCAATGAGGTTGCAGCAAAGAATTGTTGCAAAGAGTCCACAATCGTTAAAACTAGATACATGATTACGGACGGAAGACACAAGCAGCTGTAAGACTGGATGGGTAATAGACAAGCCACCAAGTAAGGCAGAGGACTGTGATGTTGTAATAACATAACCTCCACTACCATTATGGACCTGTTTGAGCCTACCAGTTGGTCCATAGCATGATGTTGCAATCATCTGTAGCACATTCAGCGGTCCTCTGATTGAAGCACTGGTTACGGGTCCAGCTGTATACTGCGATGGTTTTTTCAGCTCAACTCTTGCCATGATTAAGCTTGAGATTTCAGATTGTGTTTCAAAGAAAATAGCTCAGGCTTTGGTTTTACAATTTAAAACTCATCATTTATTTATTTAATGTGAGGGTGGGCAAAAGGCATAACATCACAACCGCAGATAAGCAAGTATCAAACAACAGAACTGAACATGGTGATTGGGATGAGTGTTCCTGTGGTGGGACCAGGTATAGCACACATTCTAGTGGGCTCAATTTCTGCTTTTATTGTCCTTTATAGCCACTGTTTCCCGGGCAGAGATTTTAGCAACCCTTTGGATAAAGTATGTCCCAAAGTGAATGCCTAGAAAAGATCCTGCTGCAACCCAGAGCCAGTTCTTTCTTAAAAATGATTTTGCTTTCATGGCTCCTTGTTCGGCAGTATAGCTCCAATGAGTAGCCTAGAAAACACAAGAGAGAGACATTGCAATTAAATGAAAGTTAAAATCAGACCCACCCCCCTATGAAACTTCCATTTATTTGCTTACTATAGGCAAATAAATAAATACATTCAATTAGAATATTTAAATATTTATTGATAAACAGAACATGCTGTGTAAGGACTTTTGAGTTTTAATGGGGCTTGCCAGCAAACTGCTATACTGTTATATATGTACTTTAGAATTCAGCAATGGGCGTCTCAGACTTTCTTAGTAAGGCCCCTTTCACACAGGTTTTCTGATCAGGTCCTCCTGTCAGTTTTTCAGGCCGACCTGATTGGAAGCCCGATGTTATTGTATGGACAGCTGGACCCAAAACGGACAGGCGTCCATTTAGATTCACACACCAACATGGGTCTGGTAATGTCAGTTTTTTAACTCCATTTTGTGATTAACTCAACAGTGACATCCGTTCCAATCATAAGGGGATCTGTGCATGATCCCCCTCCTGATCGGATCGTGTGAAAGGGGCCTAAAAGCTTCCAGCCCAATTTGGTGCAGGAACGCACCCTGGTTGGCTCATTGCATTCTGGGGATGGTAGGCGGTGTGGCGGTGCATTAAAGTCGATTGCACCGCAGCCACACCCCCAGCCACAGTGCGCTCGCCCACACCGGAATGCGTGGTACATCAATTCCTGCGTTCTGGTGCGGTCAGAAAAAAAAGGAGCATGCATTTTTTTCTGACCGCACCGGAAAATGCAGGCATTGATCGCACTGCGGCCGGGGAGAGTGGCTGCGGTGCCACTGACTTCAATACGCCGCCACACCCCCTCCCGCCCCGGAACGCAGTAAGCCGTCCCTAGTCATACAAATTTTCGGAATGGATTAAAGCCTCCCTATCACATGACTTCATTAAATGTGTATACCGAGTCATATCCTGTACTTGGAAAATAATTCCATGTTTCTATTGAAAGGCTATTTATGGGACAGGGATTACACGCAATAAAAAGATGGAGAATACAAGCGTGGAATGTACCTACACAGGAACGGTGTGCATGTTTAGTACATGGAGTGGAGGGTAGAATCTCCCGACACCTCAATTTGTAGGGAAGGGGCAGATATTGGGGTTTGGACACGATTTTCACACCTGATTAATTACGTACAAGGCATGCCGGTGTCTATCTTGGGTGATGTTGTGCCTATGGCATAAGAACATCCTGTGTCTTCTGAAGTCTATGTCAAGCTACCTGAGGCAGCCTCCCAAACAGTTACGTCATGGTCGAAATATCCATCTGTTCCGACAGGCAAAGCTTCACAAACTTCCTGATAGTGCCAAAGCTTGTCTACTCCTTCCTAGCACCTGCACATTCCTATTGAACAGCATGGCTGCCCATGATAGTGAGCGGCAATAGGAATGTGTGGGGGTGAGTATTGGCAGCAAGCTCCAACACTACTCACAGCATTTAGGCTATAACAGGTATGTGAAGGCACTTCTACATGTCTGCACTTCATTTCTTCAGCAGTATTCCCCCCCTTCCAGTGACACAGTCTTAGTAAACAATAAGCAGACCACTGGGACTCTATTCTCTCCCGATCAACCCACAAGTGTTACCAGCACATGTACCACATACACAGGAAATGACCAACACCCAAGTACATTCACACAGAGGATATTAGCTTCTGCTTGGGAAACCCAACATGACCTGATTCTCAACCAGTAAGAGCAAACTATGCTTAAACTGGACACATCACTCACACAGATCAAACCATGGGTGGCCAACCATACTCTCTAAATTACGATCTGTATATACTATTTTCACTGTTAATACTGCTCATGAGGCAAAAACGCATCATTTGTAATACTCGGTATAGTGCTCGGTATAAATTGATACTTCTCAGATTGCATCATGCCCGATAAAGTAAACCCCTGTTTCCAAAGCTTGCAATGGGAATTCTAGTAAACAGTATCATTTTTATGTACACACATGTATGATTTTTTCCCCCCCAAAACTACTTGCTGAACTCCAGCAAAAACAGAATTACAATTCAATCATTGCTTTAGATTACAGAAAAATTTCACTTTTGCAGATATTAAAGGGCCAATTCACACCTGCTAGACGCACAACAGCTGGTGTGCATGGCCCAAAAGTGCCGATGCGCCCATCCTGGCATAAGACACTGTGTATTTATTTTTTTTGGCAGAACTTTATTTAAATGTTTCAAGTGACATTTCATCCAGTTCTTTGGGCACAGTGGAGGTGTGAGGCGGTTTTTCATCGTCTCATGCCGCTGTACTTTTTTTCAGAGCACATCACTGCATTCTCGTCGCAATGCAGTGGTGTGAACAAAGCCCATACGTGACAAGGCAAATTGCCTTGTCTTGTGGCTGCGCCGCAAACAATGGCCAGCGCAACTCCAACGAAGATGGTGTGAATGGACCCTTAAAATAGTACACATACAAACACATATTTTCTTATCTATGGAATAAAAGATTCTGGGGGGGAAAAAAACACTCCACATGCCCACTACAGCATACACGGTGCCATTGATTATAATATATACAGTACATGAACATAAAGTGACACTAAACTCAAGAGTTAAATCTTAAAAATGCATTTCAGTACCTTAACTATTAACAAAAGCAGACCTTATTTGTGCATCACTCTGCTGTAGATCCTCAAATTATCTCTGAATTAGTGCTGACACTGTCCTTCCTTCTGGAGGGTGGCTACTTTTGTTCCCCATGGCCACTGCGTGTGTTGTAAAGTAGCCACCGCTCCAAGCTCACTCCTGTGATGGACTACAAGCTCACGTTTAGTTTTCTAATTTGCATTGAAGTTATGGTTCTTCACAGGAGTGAGCTCGGAGTGGTGGCTATTTTACAACACACACAGGGACCATGGGGAACAAAAGAAAGCATCCTCCAGAAGGAAGGACAACGTCAGCTCCAATTCAGAGATGATTTGAGGATCTATTGCTGAGTGAGGCTCCGTTCACACCTAGGCATCAGCGTTGTCGTTCATATTAGTGCGCTTTTTGTCTACCATATTTAGCACATTTTTTCCGCATGTTAGACACGCGCACAGAAATTTGCAAAACGCTTATGTCGTGCGTTTCCATTGAAAGTCTATGGGGCCAAACGCATTGTAATCTGCCAAAAGCTCATTAGCTTTTTCCAGCATTCAGTGTTTTACAGCTTGCGACAAAACTCAGGTATGAACAGGAGCCATTGAAATTAAAGGGATTTCTTGTGTTGATGGTTTTGTCGCGCTTAGCTTTGTGCATCAAAACGCCCAGGTGTGAACAGGGAGTGAAACACAAATAGGATACATTTTTGTTATTAGTGAAAGGAGAACTATGAGGTGAGTGAATTACACTCATCCTCATAATTATAGCCGACGTGTGACATTGAAACTGTGATAGGTCAGTTCTATTGATCAGGAAGTGAGCGAAAGCACACCGCCGCTCGCTGACTTCCCGATCGACTCCGTGCAGAGATCGGTGACTGTCAGTCATCTCTCCCTGCAGGTATTCCCCCCTCCCCTCTCTGATCATTCAGCACTGACTGGAGGGACGTACGGACGGTAGAGGGGGTTTTTATTATTATAGGTACACTGTGTGAATGGGAATTTGACTGCAAACGTGAACTCCAGGCGACTAGCCAAGTACACAGCTCATACACAGTAAACTCCCAGTAGTTTTCTGGTTGCTAGAGAGTTAATAGTAACTCTCAAGCAACCGCGCCCCCAATGGTGGCTCCATTCACTTGTTGGCTAGCTTCTGCAGTCGGCAGGTGAATGTAAATAGCTGAGAGCAATGGGCTATTTCTAATTGCAATAGCAGGCTTGCTATTGCTCCCGGTTTACATTCTGCTGTCGCCCGCAGAATCTAGCTGCTGGCAGGCAACAAGATGTGAACACATTTACTTGCCAACTAAAATTTTTCAGTATGCACCAAGAGACTGACATTTTATGATACTCCTATATCGATTTTTGTTGCCGGTTGCTTGAATGCCGGATGATGGGGAGTTTACTGTACATACATGGGAACAAGTTTTACCCGCTAAAGGATTTATAATCTTGCTTAGCCAGTGTTTTGGTTGAAATATTCCAGCCAGACGGAAAAGCCAGTTCCTCGAGCTTGACTACAGCCACAGCAGCTTTGTCAAGCACACACTCTGTTTTCTGGGAACGGCAGCACAATGACGAGGCTGAAGCAACCATGAACTTACAGCAGAAGGGGGAATGCCATTAACATGAGGCTCACTGATCTGGCCAGCCGGAAGTGGCCCTTTAATGACGTAAGCCTTACGTCCATGGCAGCGAAAGTGTTAAACTCATGATGCTCAACCTATGACTCATTGGTACATATAATGCAGACCTTGGGGCTGTGTTTTTCCTGCCCTGGTGCTTATTCAGCCTGTGATATGCAACAATATATGGAGACGTGTTCCTGGACTATGGCTCATTGTCGTGCGACTTAGGCCCCGTTCACATTGAGCGATTTATCGCGCGATTTTTGTAGTGATATCGCTCATATTTCCGCACTATATCGCTCTATGTAGCTTCACCAATACATTTCAATGTAGCTGTTCACATCTCGTCGCTCAATGTCGCTCAATATCGCTCAATATCGTTTGTAGCTCGTCGCTGGTAGCTTGTCGCTTCTACATGACCCTTTTTTAGAGCGATT